CACTTACTCACTCACACACACACACGCACACACAGACACAGACACACACATGCACATACACGCACACAGACACACACACTCACACGCACATACAGACACACACTCGCACACGCACACACACACACACACACCGTCATGAATCCGTCCAGCAGGCCTGAGTCAGGTTTGGGCGGAGCCTGCAGTCGCTCCATTGACCATTTCTCGATGATAGACGACACCTGCGGACTCTCCGTGTTCAAGATGCGGAAACCGGTCATATTCACTCCGCTGAAGCGATACGGCTCCATATCCAGAGCAAACAGGTCCTGTGGACGAACACACGCTTATCATGACATGTGAAGGCTTCATTTATTTGATCAAAAGTACACACATGCACTGTGTGTGAGTGTGAGTCTCACCAGAGTTGTAAAGATGTAATGATAGTATTCCGTCACCATTCCCATTGAAAGAGCCTGCGGAAAAATAAAATAAAATAACACAACATGAATGGATCATATTTTACTAAACACACACCAAAAAAAAAAAAATTCTGGCATTATTTTCATGAAAATCAAGCACATTTTTCACACAAAAAAACCTCTCATTAACCTGTTTTACTTTTGAGTGTTTGGTAACACTTTATTTTAAGGTGTCCTTGTTGCACGTTACATTTACTTACTATTATAATAACAATAAATTATGCATAATTACATGCAAGTAACACTAAGCCAAACCCTAATCCTAACCCTAACCAAATCGTACGTACATGTAGTTAATTAATATTACTCTGTATAATTACACTAGTTTGTAATTCTCATTATTCCAAATAATGATTCTTTTTAGATTCTCAAAACTGCAATGTAATGATTGATTATTAACTATAAAATCACCATAAATTAAATGCAGTACTACAAATACTAAAAATAATTTACGTACATCACGTTTTATTTCTTAAGAAGAAAATCTAAGGTTTCTTCAGAAAGTTTGTAAGAAGTACAATTCTTTAAAAAAAAAAAATCTTAAGATGTTCTCAAAAATATACATTGCATTTTTATTTGAGATAATGTAATTTCTGTAAGACTTCTTACAAACTTTCTGAAGAAACCTTAGATATTCTTCTTAAGAAATAAAAACGTGATGTACTTAAGATTATTTTAAGTATTTTTCAAGAATTGCACCTTTTAGGAGCATCTTAGAGAAACCTTACATTTTTGTAACAAATAAAAATGATGTACTTTTTTTTTTACATTTTTGAAAATGTTGTAAGATTTTTCAGGAATTGCATTTAGACAAATCTTAAATGTTTAATAATTAGTCCTTCATTCACATTCCTTCATAACAGATGATGTTTATAAAGCGGAGAGTTCCGGTCCTTGATTCTGATTGGCTGAGCTGCGTTCGAAGCTGTTGTAAATGACTCTACAAAGTAACATACACCTTTGTTTACGTTTGTCTGTTGCTCGGCAACCACTTTGTAGCAACCACAACTGTTTCAGCCGTGGTTTACAGCACTTAGCTGTTATAAATTCACTGTAAACCACGGCTTCTTGGGGCTTATTGCTTTATTTTAGTTCATGGTGTCCCAAAACAGCACAGTTGAGAACACTTAGTTGATCTTAAGAGTCATTTTTAGCATATTAAGTACAAGATTAGTGCGTGAAAACAGAGCACTTTAAGTACATTATGGAAGCTCACCTGTTTGAGGATCCAGGCTGCCATCTCGTGACTGCAGTCGAAGATGACGTGAAACTCCTTGGCTTTCTTCATCTCCTTCAGCAGCGGTTTGGCGTCCTTGGTGTCGGCGGCGAGCTGCCGGATCTTCAGGCGGATGTTGTATCTGGATGGAGCTTTAATGAGCTCCTGCAGGCGGATGAGACCTGCAGACATGACAGCAGATCCGTATCTGAAAACATGCCCCACAAACACACAATACAGCTCTGAACAACCTGCAGAGGCACACAACTTCAGCGCTTTGAAGAAAGAAATGCATGTTTATTTACAATTGACTCTCAAACAGCAGAAGCACACACCAAATCTGCAGAACCATGCACTAATACTCAGCCTTTGACTCGGTTTTCAATTTCATAAAACACTTTTTGCAAAACACAACACAGTTCTCTGTGCAGCACACACAAATCTAACAGGAATTAATATTATGGCAAAGGTGTTTGCAAATGTTAGCTTTTGTGGTATTTTGAGCGCAGTGCTTCATCTTGCAAGAGAAGCGAAGCATTTTGCATTTTGTGTACAATTCTTTGGATTTCTGCGAGTTTTGAAAAAAAAAAAAAAAAGAGGCAAAGTTTTGAAAATGTAAGCAGTTGAAAAAAAATAAGTTTAAAGGGTTAGTTCACCCAAAAATGAAAACGATCCCATGATTTACTCGCCCTCAAGGCATCCTAGCTGTATATGACTTTCTTCTTTCAGACGAATGCAATCAGAGTTATATATAAAAACGTCCTGGCTCTTCCAAGCTTTATAATGGCAGTGAATGGGTGTTGAGATTTTGAAGCAACATAAAGTGCATCCATCCATCGTAAAAAGTACTCCACACAGCTAATAAAAGCCTTCTAAAGTGAATCGAAAAATATCCATATTTAGATACACATACACATATTTAATATAACTCCGACTGTATTCGTCTGAAAGAAGAAAGTCATATACAGCGGTGGCCAAAGTGATTAGAACACTAGTATGTTCAGCAGCTAAAAAAATGTGTAGAATTAATAAATATATATATTTTTTAATTATTTAAACGTCATTATTTTCTCACATGACTGTAATGAGAATTTGAGTGGAAAATGCACTTAGTTATCATAAAAATATAATATACTGTATAGCTACTGATTTTGGATTTTGCCATCTTTGTTGGGAAGTTTTGTCCCCATAATGTAGGGTTTACCAGGACCACACACACACACACACACTAAATATATTTTAATAAATAAAATTATATATTATATTATATTATTTTATATATATTATATTATATTTTATTATATATATACACACACACAATATATTAATTAATTAATATATAATATATATATATAATTCCGTTTTGGTATTTATTTATTAATTTCCAATTAGCAATTTTAGTGCTTCAAATACACAAATAGTGCTTCAAGCCCAAAAATGTCCTGTTAAATCCAAAAGCACCTAGCAACAAATGTAGCTATTTTGAAAATTTATTTGGCAACTTTTAGCAACTTTTGTTAAGCGACTCGGACAATAAAAAGGCACACATTTCCATCTAAATGACACAAAAAGAGAAATCCAAAGATGCCTCGCAGTACACACATCACATGAATTGAGTTCGCTGCTATTTGCAATTGTTCAATTTACCAATAATAATAATTGAATAATTGTTCATTTATTATACACGTTGTTAGTAGCTTGTACCTGCGATTGTTAGTAACACTGTAAGAAAAATGGAAAAGATACTAGTAATGTTCCAGGACATTATTCATTGTAACCCAAAAACACAATGCGTAATTAAAAAACCAATACGTAAAATTCTTTCATATAATTAACATAGTAGATTATGCCCTATTTTTGACTTTTCTTCGAGTGTAGCATACTAACTAACTACTAATACACTGCTTAAAGCATAATTGCTGAGAATGTGTAGTATTGATAAAAAAAAACAAATTGTAATAATTCAAAAATGTTCGATAATTCAATGCATTTAAAAATACAGTTATTTATATTTTGATATTATATTATGCATATTATTTTACAAACAAATCTAAATTGACATTAAATATATATTTTTGCTGAGATTTGATGTTGTGACAATTTTCCCGTCGTGATTACGCAATGACGTCACAACGTCTTTTTGCAACAAATTTACCTTCCTTTAGCAACTTTCTCTGAAAGTTAGTTGGCAACACTGGACAGAAAACACAGGGTCAAATTAACGAGGGAACTCCCCGAGCGACGCAGCACTGATAAAGATGGTTTTGTGGGGAAGTAAATACTACAGAAAAACGAATGTAATTTCTACATTAAATAACTTAGTTCAGGCAACTTGGAAATCACGATTTTTTCTGTGCGTGTGAGTGTGCGTGTGAGTGAGTGTGTGAGTGCATGTGTGAGTGTGTGCGTCTGAGTGTGTGTGCGTGTGATTGAGTGTGTGTGTGTGTGTGCGTGTGAGTGAGTGTGTGAGTGCATGTGTGAGTGTGTGCGTCTGAGTGTGTGTGCGTGTGA